ACACACACGCTCGCGCACGCACACACACATGCACACACACGCACCCACACATGCATACGCACAGGACACGCATGCACACGCACACACATGCACACACACGATCATAAGAAAAAAGAGTGATTGCCATTGGCTACATGTTATAGCTGAGAAATGGGCCCTTGGGAGTCCAGGAACCCTACAAAGAACCGGCAACACACCGCTAACACATAGGAAAAGGATATAAGAAAAGAGAAGTGATGAAGAAAGGAGAGTAAACATCAAGCAGTGAAGATTTTTCACAATCCATTGGTTTATAAAGCAATCCATGTTTTAGGTGTTTCAAAATAGCAGCAGCTTGTGATTCCGTCTTCGCAGAAATAAACTCTGCTCAATTTTCCACCTCCCATTAACATTTGTGATTCCGTACAAAGGCCAACTCTGGACTACGGGGGCGGATGTTGCCAACTTCGATGGTATCACCGTGTACTCACGCCTGGGCTTTTGAAATGTTTTTTTTATTTTTATTTTAAGAGGGCTGCGCCGCACTCTGCTGCAGTGCAATACAGAGGCAACACTGGAGGGGTCGAGTAACCAAGCTTACTCGTACGACCTCTGACTGTAATCATAGCCAGTGCCAACAACAAACCACCTTCACCCAAATAGAAAGCCCACCCGTTCAGCACAGCAAAGTCGAGATGCAACGATAATGACCGGGCGTTCTATTCCAGTGAAGACAACAGCATACCTGCTACGCCCTTCGACATCCAGGCTCGTACCTTGCATGCCCTTAGATAGCCATCATTCTGGCCCCGCGACACTAAGACATGCACTATTGCACGACACGAGCATAAGGGCACAACCTACTTCCCCCGAACAGAACATACCGACAACTTTCTTTCAGTTCGTAGAAACAGCGTTGACGAACATACATTCTATTCGGGGGAAGACAGTACCATGATATCACCACTGTCAGCCAAATAGATCGCCGGGTGCTTATCACTGCATCTGGACAGCAATCAGCACTGAATACAGAGAAAATGACCAGGTGTCCAATTCTGCAGTAGACGGTACCATGATATCAGCACCATCACTCAAATAGATCGCCCCATGATTATCGCTGCACACGGACTGAAAGGAGCACTGCATACATGCAAGCTAACTGAGTGTTCTATTTCGGTGACGACAGGATGGAAAGCCGTCACCACCGGTGCTATGTTCATGCTTTAGGCCAGGTTCCCACCTTCCTCGCATGAGTTATAGCACAGTAGGGACTGACCATCCGGCTCCTGAAAACTCTGAATCACTTTCACAAAACTGCAAAGGTAGACTTCGCGCACACTTGGAAGTTAATAGGTAAGAGGGGAGTTTTCTTCTTTTTTTAAGGGAAGTCAAGACGGGAGAGGGAAGGACGGAGGGGGGGTGCTGGGGCAGCGGGGGGGCGGGATGAATCCTAGACAAGACACCGGAAGTGTAACATCAACCGACAATGTGCGGATTCTGTTCTCGCTTTTTCATGTGCCAGTGCGCCACCTCGCAACCAACATCGATGGACTTTTTTTCAATCAGTCAAAGGAACAAGGCTTCCTATGACCAGTCTGTGAAAGTTGGCATGAGTGTTTCCAAAAACGACAACAAAAACTCTCTGGAAAAAGAAAGAATGCCCACTTCACAAAAAAAAACCAAAAAATGCATGCCCGCTTAAGTATGAAGAATTAAGGCCAACGGTCATGCGGCAGATGATACAGCTCATTCATAATGCCAGTCAAAAGAACACATCAGTGCCAAGAAGGAAAAAAAGAGAGAACAGTGCGCGGCAATGTGTGCCCAAGCCACTCAGCTAAAAAGTTATGAACAATGTGTGCCCAAGCCATCCAGCCAAAGAGAGAAGTGCTTCCGGCATCTAACCTACTATAGCATCATACTACTCAGCTCAGAGATGAGCCGCCATAAAAACCTTGGCCTCTCGAGCAATCCGGATATCCTCCTCTCTAAATACCGGGCGTTTTTGCGCACATGCACATATGCACACATTCATGCCCATATCTGACTACAACTGAAGACATCGATGTGGGCACACACACAGACACGCGCATGTATGTGCACACGACTGCCCGCTCGCCCACGCACCACGCATGCCAACCAGCCTGCCCTCTTCCCGCCTACCCATTCACCCTAGATCCCCCCCCCCCCCCCCCCCCCCCCCCCCCCCCCCCCCCCCCCCCCCACCCCCCCCCCCCCCCCCCCCCCCACACACACACACACATACACATACACACATGCCTGCTCCTAAGGACCCATCCATCTGCAAGCAGAGCCACTTTTCACACACTCAGAGATGCAGCGAGTATCAATCACACAAAAAAAAATGATAAACAGATGAGATGCGGCAGCGAAGGGACGCAAGATGAGAATAGGAGGTCTGTTGAGTCAGGCGGCAAGGAAGGGATGAAGGGAGGGAATTGGACGTCCCCTAAGAGGGGGGGAAGGGAAGCAAAGTACTCTAGGGGTAGCACGGGTAGAGCATGAGTTAGGTCATTAGAGTAATAAAGCTTTTACTTCGGATTGTTGCAAGCCTGCCTGAAGAGACTGCAAGGACGGCTGCGCCTAGCCCCCCCGGGATCCTTCTACTGCGTGACTGGGTGCTACTAGGAAGCTTCTCCCGGGAATCCCATGGTAGCAGTCCCCCCCTTGAAGGTTATGCCTGACCCCCTCTTTGCTCGAGCTCTTACTTGCC